CGAGGATAACCATTTCAAATTCGTAGAGTTTATTAGGTATAGACTCTTTTATGGATTGTTTCTAGAAACCCTGTGGAAGTCAGGACCCGATACATCCAGAACTAGGATAACCTTGTCTTTTTAGCTTTCGGCTTGTGTCCATTGCTTTAGACTTATTCCGTCTCATCTTTGTATTCTTTTAGCAAAGATGCCTCCTCGCAGATCAAACAGACGCACTACTCCGATAACTCCAACTCCACCGTCACAATTCGATACTGCTGCTCTCCACACAGCGATATCTGTGACAACCCGAAAATCCTTGTCTTGTAAAGTTCAACTTTCTCTCTCTAGAATCTTCACATAAGGACCCTTCAAAGGCTTCAAAAACGTAAGTATTCTATCATGTAGCTCGTTATGCTTGCAAGACTTCTTAATCTAAGCCCAAATTCATCAAAGTTTCATGCTGTTCTTCATCCTTGAAGGTGTACGGCCACACACCTTCATAAGGTGGCCATACACACCTTAAAGGCTCTCCAAAGTGAGAGTTTGGCCTCCATTTGCTAGTTGGACTTGGTATTGGCTTTGAAACACCTGGAAATCGACAATTTGGGCATGAATGAAGAGTGTACGGTCGCACACCCCTGTGTACGGCCGCACACACACTCTGTACGGCCGCACACTCCCTTGTACGACCGCACACAGGCCTGGCCGCACACCCTGGCCGTACACCTGGCCGCATACACATAAAAGTCGAGTTTGGTGGCCTTACACTCAAATCTAAGGCCCTACACTCATTTAGGGACTTCAATAGGTGTTTGTAACACTTAATTCTAAGTGTTTTCATGTCCCTAAGGTGTGTCCATGTGTCTATTAGTGGTTATATACCCTAAGTGTATTCATATATGTGTTATTACATGTTAAACTAGGATCCGTTTGTGCTCACGACTTCATTCGACACCCGGCGATCCTATATCAATCTTTCTTTCGAGTTACTCGCTTCAGGTGAGTTCATACCCCTTAATCAACCTTTAAAATGATTTTAAATGCTTTTAGGGGGGGGGGGGGGGAATACAAGTTGAACTATTAAGTTATTATATCAATCACATATGATTAATAACTTTCAATCAAATAGATTTTTGCATGTTAAACTGTTTTATTCAGCTAAAGGTTTTCACATATTACTTTCAAATCTCTTTTAAAGTACTATAATCTCTTTTTAAATTACTAAACTTTTATCAAAGTCTCTTAAACTTATATTCTTGTTAGATTCATGTCTATATAGATATAGTTATATAAGTAGGGTTTGAAGGACTTAGGACTGATAGCCCGCTTTATTTCCTGTTCCTTGTTTGGTTGTGGACTTAGAGTATCCGGTTATTTGTCCGAGTGTCGTTGAAGTCCTAGCTATATATTATGTATATCTGTTTAGATATTAAAACTCTTACTCCATTTCAGCGCCTTTGGGTAGCAAAGGTACCTAGATAACCCCTCAAGTAAACTATAGTAGGTATAGTTTAGAAACCAACAATAGCTTTTATGAGGAGAAACTAGCTATATTAATATTCTAAAACATGTACTTTTAGTAAAAAGAAACGTATATAGCAATCAGAGCATGAGATACATCCTCATGACGCGGATTTCACCGTTGTCAAGTTGGTAACCAGAGTCTCCTGGAGGAAGAGCGGGCATTGTGTGTATAGATCTATACGGGACAGACCATCCCACATCCTGACTGCTAGCTACAGTCCCGGCCGACCAAGCCAAGGGGTGACAAATGTCACATTAATTTCGACGCCAGCAGATCATCGTGTTTACATCCGTCAATCAGTATGGTTACGAGTATCTTCACATTTACCTTATAATTCATGGCCTTAAGGTAATTAGTACCACGGTAGTTTCTACATATAAAACTACGGTACTATAATATTTTCCCTAATACATTAAACTTAGAACGTTTTTGACATAAAACGATAATGTAAAACTATATTTTGATAATGATAGTAACATTTGGGAAAAATGCTCTTTAAACACAAAACAGTCGGGTCTTGGTAGAAGACTGCTTTTAGTAGAGAAACTCATTCTTTTAAACATGAAACAGTCGAGTCTTGGTAGAAGACTACTTTAATAGAAAATATAGGATTTTCTGAAAGGAATTCAAATACTTTATAAACTTTTATCACGATCATCTAATGAGATTATTTTGAGGAAAAACATGTATTTATATCAATGTCATTAAAACACTTATGAACTCACCAGCATAAAATGTTGATCCTCTCTTCCAAAATAACTTGTATTCTCAGGTTGTCAGTAGACAGGTACACTCCGGGAGCTTTTGCGAAGTCAGCCTTGTACCGAGCTGCATCTTATGTTATTCTCTATATCTATTTTGATGTTGTTGCTAAATGTAACCTATGTAAAAACTTATACTATTAATGAAATGGTTGTTGTACTTTGATTACTATACTGCATGTGTTGTGATACTTGACATGACGTCCTCCGCCCCAGAACGTTTCCATCGTTCCGGTTTTGGGGTGTGACAGATTGGTATCAGAGCATTGTTTATAGTGAACTCAGTATATCAAATCATAAAAGATATACAACCTATAAATACAATGGGATAAAAACACTCTGACCAAGAGTTTTACTTTAAAATATAACCATATTTTACAAAAGTATAAGTACATCCAGAATATATATACCAGAACAAGTATCACAAGAAGAACAAGAATAAAAGTCTTTGGATGTTGAGAATTACCGTCAAACCTGGACAGTTATGTAATCGTAAGCTGGAATAAATGTAGCCTGATCAACTATATTTATTCAAGATGCGACCAACGTGTGTTTGGGAGTGATGATGGTGTTGCAAGGAATCTAAAACTTACCATATAGGAATGCTAGAGCCGAACATAAAGTTTAAAAATACTATAGGAGTATTTTATGATACTAAAAGACTAACAATAAACCTAAAAGCATGTTCAGAAGTTCTAGAATCAAACATGTAATTAAAATACTATAGGAGTATTTTAGGAACCATAAATAACCTTGCGTGAAAACTAAGAAGACCCTTATTGATAGGTCTATGATTACAGAGTGTATGCTCCCAAGGTTATATATAGTGAGGATCTCATAGGCTAAGAATGTGTGGTTTCGCTCTACTTTCTTTTCCTTGTTTGGATGTGGATATAGAGTAGTATCACATATTCGAAGACCTATTAGATCTAAGTTATATATGATTTATGTACACTAGGTAATTGTAGAAGGACTCGATATGGATCACACATTAAAATGTTTTAATAATCTCTTAAGATTCTTTAGACATTCCCATTCTCGCATAAACCCCTTTAGAAAACCTTATCTACTTCAGTAATCGGCAGAGGAGTCGATAAAGACCCAGAAGAGGTTCATTGAGAAAGATTTCCAAGTAGGAAATGAATGAACAGTGATGAGACTATTGAAATCACCATGTGCCTATACCTTTTAGGGACATCGGTGGGAAATTCGCCTGAACTTCCGAGATTCCAGTCATCCATTATGAAGTGATGACGATCAGAGTCAGAATCGGAAGTAAGGCGGAGCAGAAATTCGATATGTCTATAGAAGAAGAGAACCCCATAAAAATACCCGGAGAAAACCAAAATTCATTTCAGCCAAGAATAAGCGGTGAATAGAGGGAGCCAGTGCATGAAACCCGAGAAGTGTTTCTACCTCTTTAACGTCACGCTAATAACCCATAAAATAATACAACTTAGTGAGCTAGTGATTACACTACTCACACTATGTGTTAGGCAAATCGTCTTTCCTGTCGCGATTAATATAAATAGATCGGATCACAAAATCTCAATTGATAGTGATTAGCCCTTAGCATTCATGAATCTTTTCTTGTGTAATCTTCGTTCCGAAGTTCTTTCGAATCTTTTCAAAACCGGAGAGTGAACCTCTCCAATATAAAGATAACTTAGTTGGAACGACACCCATTTTATGGCTTTCCGATACACTTACTTCTACCCTGTTACCAGGACTGCATCATAGGGATGTAGGTCGACACTTAGAGAACCATATCTCAAAGCACGGGAAAATTTTATGCCTTTTATAGTAAAGAAAGATACGTCTAGGGGTAACCATCGTTTCTCATCAACTTGTGTTCCTCATCGTGTAGGAAAACCATGCCTCCGAAGAAACGTAACCAACCCGCTAGCAAGGCACCGACTCTTCAGATCGATGAAGCTACGTTCCAAGCTGCAGTTTCAGCAGCCGTAGCAGCTGTTGTGGCTCACCTGAATGCTAACAACGCAAATGTTAGCAAGAGCATTATCGGGAATCCCGATCATAACAATGGACAGCAGCAACCATCATCGGTGTGTAAAGCCACCCAAGAACTCCAACCTAATCCCCTGAAAAGAAAGTTTGAGAACGAGAAGGGGAGTACCTCGACTCAAGGACCTTCCGAAGGGCAGCAAGCTGAGGTAGTCAATACCCCTGTCAACCCGCCTGTCTCGACACCAAGAAGACCATACCTAGGAAACTTCCCCCACTGCAGAAAGTGTAACTACCATCATTATGGAGTCTGTCGAGAACCCTTTTGTGTTAGGTGCAACATGAAGGGGCATACCGCTCGCAACTGCAGAACTCCGGTTGAGTTCATTACATCAACCACCAATGTTGGGACCAGTCCAGTATGCCACCTATTTGGTGAAATTGGGCATCTCAAGAGGGACTGCCCAACTGAAAGAAATAACAAAGACGCAGGAGGAGTTTGACCCTAATACCTAGAAGAACATCAAGGAACCCGATAGAATTTTGGTACGCTTCTCAACCTTAAGTGGCTAATCGAAAACTTTATATAATCAATTCTAATTGTAACTAGATGCGTTCCAGCGCTGGTTGGAAATGGTGTTGAGTGGGTCGGAATGGTGTATGTGGACTGGAATCAATGTTGAAGTATTATATCACAACAGGAGGATGAAACAATAGACATAGTTATGAAAGTAGGTTGCTATTTATTGTATTTAACTAAAATTAAATGCAGAAATAACAGATTACTTGTACTTGAATAAACAACACTCAAACCTATCTAATACAAATAATTATGAAGTAAAAGCAAGTCCCTGCAATTCCATTGAATTTGAGTTCAACAATCTGCATGTGCTTGTTGCTTTAACCGATCAAAAGGGCAGGTTGATAGTAGTATCCAGTGACAGGGCAAAATCTATAAAAATGAAAAGAAATAAAAGTGAAGTATTACAGATTCAATTCTAAGCATACATTTCAATTACATTTCAAAATGATGAAGTGGGATTCGTTTAGCTAGCATCAGATTCATTTACCACCGCCTTAACCCTCTTCAGCGTTTCTACTGCTACCATACCCTTCAAAAAAAATAAGGAAGAGTCAGTAGGTACCATCTTCTTCGAACTCAGAAAAAAAAAATTCAAAAAAGTTAACTTTACTGAAAAATCATTGAAAACAATTCGAGTATTTATACATTGATATTACATTGAAATTTGTTGTTAATATTTTTATCTAATTTGCAAATTGAAATTTTACAAACCTAGTTATGTGACTCGGCTCTACCGACTATAGTTTTGACAACATCTTCCATTCCCAACATAGGTGATAGCATAATTTCAAACCTGTATCTTTGATTTTTATATAATGAAAAAAGTACAGATGTGATAGTATAATTGAAATTTTGTTATTTAATAAAAGACATACTACAAAAAAAGACGTTATATGTGGTACAATTTTGTTGTTTAACCACTTGAACTTTATGTTTTCTTATCAAACTTTTTCAAATAAATTAATTTGACATGCTATAAAAGACATCATTTGACATCGGATTACCACTTTCTATATGTGCATTCAAAATTTTCGATATATAAAGTATACAATTATCTCAATATTTAAATCTTTTACAACATCAGGTAAAAAAAAAAGATGATATAACCACATATCAATAATGGCAGAACTGGAAATTGGTTATTTTTTTGTCAACCTACATAATATCTTAAATCGCATGTTAAATTCATTGAAAGTAAAAAATGATGATGCGGTCAGAAATCAATAACTCTAAAAATAGAGCATTAGATTATTAATCAGCGTACTTTTTTTTGGAACCACTCACCAATACTCTGGGTTCCTAAAAATACTCTGGGTTCCTAAAAAAGTAGATAAAACTTACATTGATTGTATGTCTTCCAAAAGCGGCCTAGATCATCAGCATCTACATTTTTTATTTTACCCATAAATCCAATAAAATACTTGGAATTCGGAAGCCGACTTTAAAACCCCTTTCAAATTCGTCGAAACCTACATAAGAATGAAATGAAATCAGAGCCAGCCAGCCGATGCAAAACCAGAACGAAGCGGAGTGTTGTAACCGAGGAACAGTGAAGCGGGGTCCGGATTTGTGTACTTTTTTTGGTCCTAACCAAATTAACAATATGTAGGGATAGTTTTGTCCAAAACTGTTAAAATAAAAAAAAAAAAAAAAGATTAACTATAAAAAAAGTATGTAAGGGCAGTTTCATCCAAAATTGTTAAATTCAATTTTTTTTATGTAAAAAAAAAATATGCAGGGGCATTTCAGTCCAAAACTGTTAAAATCAAAAAAAATTTAACTATAAAATAGTATGCAGAGCCAGTTTGGTCCAAAATTGTTAAAATGAAATTTTTTTAAGTTTAAAAACAGTATGCATGGGCAGTTTGGTCCAAAAAACTTAAAATCAAATTTTTTTTGAGTATAGAAAAAGTATGCAGGGGCAGTTTGGTCCAAAAATGTTAGAATAAAAATTTTCTAACTATAGAAACGGTATGCAGGGGCAGTTTGGTCCAAAAATGTTAGAATCAAAAATTTGTAATAAAAATAATATGTAGGGGCAGTTTTTACCCCTGATTTCTCAACATTCCAGCCCATCCATACCCTAATATCTAACAATAGAATTTAAAGTAATACTAATATCATTAATTTCAAACAAAAGTATTTATTTATTATTATTATAATCTATAAAGATATAATTTGAATTCAAACCACATAAAATTAAATGAGTAGTACATGAACTTTTGGACGATAAACTGTGGAATCCATACCAATAATAACTTTTTACAAAATGATGTGCATGAAAAAAAAAATTCATTTGAAAGCATATCCAAACCAAAACATACCCAATGATACCATCCATTCACTGTGGCCTTGATTGAAAGCTCATCTGTCAAAATGGTTTCAAAAATTTCTTCAGCTTCTTAAAACTTGTGTGCCTACAACATCCATAAAGCCATAGATAAAGTTCAAAATCCATAGACAAGAATAAGAAGAAGAAAAAAAGAATATCATACATTATTTGATATGTTACAGCAGAAGGATGTGGCCCAAATTGTTGAGAACTGCATTTTTAAAATCTAAAATTAACTACAGAAATTAAAAACATACGGTACTCTTATTTAAAAACACCAAAATATGAGATTAAATAGAATCATTTAAGCACCATAAAACGAAGAAACAATCATATGAAATAATTGTGATTGAATCTAACACCTTTAGATCAATGTAGGGGTAAACCGTAAAATAACGACCAAATTTCAAAAATATTCCAATTAATACAATAAAAAATAGAAAGCATGCAGATCATTTTATGTTATTTACTCTTTTTTTTTTTAAAAAAAGGTCCCTGCAGTTTGTGGTTTCTATCATGTTCAGCCCAAAGCTAAAATCTTTTTCAATTTCAAGATCCTGCTTGCTTTCAGAAATTTGAAAAAAAAAAGGCTTTAGATATTATAGCAGAATAAACATTTAAAAACATGAGTGAAATAATACCTTCTTCTTGCAAGATCCTGCTCCAAATGAGCTATCACTATCAGAATCTGTAAAATTGTTTTTTAATTCGAAATAGTAAAAGATGATGAATTGATCATATATACAAACACGTCACTTTTCTTGATCAGTAAAAAAATAGATTTAGAAGAAAACTAAAATCTTGAATAAAGATGTGGTTGACTTATAAAAAAAATTAAAATATACATGAGAAATAATATTTCCATTTACAGCTTATATATGATACAGCGAACCTGAATCTCCTGTTGACAAATAGAAGATAAAAAATCGGATGAAAAGAGATTTGGGACAAATCAATCATCTGTACACAGATATAGAGAAAGAGAGCGGGGCGAAAACCTCATTGGTTGACAACGGGTGTTGATGCTGACCGAAAAGCTGGTGAGGCGGTGGAAGCAAACAGTGATGAGTGAAGAAAAACTTTGGAAACATCAAGAAAATAAGTAACAAAAGCCACAATTAGCACTTTCATGTTTAAACAGGTTCATGTAAACTCCAAGAGCACAAAGATTCATTCAAAAATAAAACCAAAATGAACAGTCAATCGATTAAAGCAATTTACAGTTTTGATAAGCTTCAAAAGACTTACCTATTTGTACTCTAGTGTCAAGAGCATCCAACCTTCCAATTGTTCATCAAACTGTAAGAGACATTTCAACAAACATATAATGGGCATACCATAAAGCAAAATTAGATGTCGGATGTTCTTTATCATCTGAAACACCGATCTCAAACCATGTTATCCACACCACCAAACCCCATCCACATAAAAACACAAGGAAACACATCGAACCTGTCCACGTGTTGACCTCCCTATGAGTTCGATTTATGCCTTCCGCCTTTTGAATTCTTTCAAACAAACACGCACAGTCTATTTTTCCTTCTTCGAACATATTGTAATAAAAAACAAATAAGATAATCAGGCGATAGTGATAACCCCCATACAACAAACGAAGCCAAATAACGAATACCAGACACCAGGACAGTCCATATTACCTGTGTTTTTCTAAACCTTCAGAGACATCTGCTATTACTTTCTTGTCCACACCAGTACCATTTCCAGGTTGTAAGTACTTTGTGTATTGGTATTTTGAAAGCATTTTCTTGTCTATACCATCTGCAAATAGGTGTATATGTACGTATATTATATTATTATACAATGAAATCTTATAAAAATAATGAATAAAGTTAGTCAGGCTTACTGTGCAGTTCAAAGTTGGAGCTTGAGAAAGTTATGATCTATGGTGGAAGCCATTAAACAATCTTCTAAAGCTTCTTTGAAACAAAGTAACCTTGGGTGTTTTAAGGTTGTAAACAATTGAAATAATAAACAGTGACAACCCACCATTCGTCCATCATGTCCACTGCCTCAGAACCTTTAAGCTGAAAATAAAACATGAATTTGTAGGCTTTAGTCCAAATAAGTTTTCTACCATTTCATCTAATATGCCTTGAAGTGGTTGTATCTGCATTGAATTAATTTTTTTTCATTTAGACATTTCATCAAACACGTGATATGCATCTAAATTTACAAATTTTTTTTCTCAAAACAGCAAGTTTAATCAAACAAACTTAAATGGAGTTTTGAAATTCAGACACATACAAATATAACCAATCTGAAAATTAATAAATTATAATAAATTTCAACCTGGAAGTGCAGTTCTATACAAATATAGATTAACATGTAATCGGAATTAAAATCCACAATGAAATCAAATTAACATGCGAACTTACAGCTTACAGCCTTCAGTTGTATTGGATACAACAAATCGATAGAAAAGTCAAAAATCAATAGAAACCACAGAAGACATACCGAAATCAGATATGCACGGCGACATCAGAGAGAAATCGAAAATTGAAAATCCATAGCGACAACAGACATTTGAGTGTCAATCGATTGTGCGTAGGAATCCTCAATCGAACGATGTTGGTGGTGAAAATTGGTGGAGAGATGGTGAAGTGAGTAAGAGAGAAGACTGGAAGAGTGAATCGAACTGAAGCAGTTATCTGATCGATCAAATAGATGGTAACCTAAAAAAGGAAATTCATACCTGATCAGAGAGCTGGCGGCGGTGGAGATCGGAAGCCGAATGAGGTGGTTCCCGCCTAGGGCGGCGCCGATGACCGGTGTCACAGACGATCAATATTCGATCGGAAGTGTCGAGTGGGTAAAGCACACAAAAAGTTTGAGCGGAAGAAACTTCTGAATAAACGGAATGGGAAGATATTTGATAACAGAGGCGGTGGGAAGGATCTGGAAGTGAAACAACGGCAACGATGAACAACACGTGTACAAAAATATTCGAACAATTCAATAAAACACCCGTATAGTTTACTATTCTGCCAAAAACGCCCAAGTTTACAAAAAGTATACGTAAGGGACCATTTTTGCCAAACTGTTCACCGGTTCACTATTCATGTTGGAGGCCAAGTTTAATATATATATAATAATTACTCCCTCGTTAAGGCAAAAGTCGCAGCACTGTTGTAAAACCTAAAAACGCATCAGGTAAAGCTATGATGGCTTAGTATATACGTTAAGACCCTTTATAATTAGGAATGATAGACCTCGAGTGAATAATGCGGCCTTATCTCCTGTTCCTTGTTTGGTTGTGGATTTAGGGCGGAGTCGCTCAGTCAACAGTCCTTTTAATCTTAATTATACATGACTAGTGTATACTAGGCGATTATAGAGAGGCCTTGTGAGAAATCTACTCATGAAAAGTACATCTTTCCAAAGCATCAGGACCCCTAGCGTTCAGCGTCAATCATGTTGGTCCAAGCATTCGCGATAGTAATACCATGGACGAACCCAAAACGCTAAGAACTTGTGTGCCCTGTTTAGCACATGGTCCTATCAATCTTCATTCTATATCGTGTCGATGTTTATTAATTTCGACACTACCGTCAGCCATGGTTCGACTTGGTTCGACCATGCGAGAATTCCTAGTGTTGTGTAAAAAGAACTTTCACCTTATCCTAAGCGTCAAATAAAATCATTTCGAACCTAATAGGAAACCTAATGCGAACCATCTGTCGTATCTCTCATCCAACCTTCAGAAGTACACAGGAGAGGGGTATCGCGTGTTGTTAACCAACCCTATTAGACATTGAAACCTAAAGCGAAAGACATTGCAGATATTCCGGAAGACAATAACTGCCCGAGGCCTACTCAATAGATCCTCTAGAAAGACCACTGGGACCGCACGATCAAGTTCGTGAATCAAAAGTAAGAACTCATGGGATTAACTTACTACTACTGAGTATATGCATTAGAGTGGTATATAATTTAGGTCGATAAGATTTGAGATGTGTGCTTCCGCCCTACTCCCTGTTCCTTGTTTGGTTGTGGGTTTGGGGTGGGGCCACACATCTGAACATCCTGTCAATCTCAATTATATACTACTTGTATACACTGAGTAATAGTGATTGAGCCGAGTATGAGGTCTACCACGAACCTTAAAATAAACCCTTCATCATATACCCATAGGAAAGGAGCTGAAGTCAAGAGAACAGTTGTAGGTTGAGCTGCTAAAATGACTACAAATTCGAAATTTGTTGTCATCCCGGTTAAGCCAACATAGTAACTGACACCCTCAGTTAGGAAAAAGTAACTCAAGTCGTAAGAGTCAAAAACATTGACTACGACCATCCATTCACGCCTGATCCCACAAATTAAGCATCTCAGTAGTGAGCCAAGAAACCTGGAAAGCTGTGACAGGTTAAACTCTGAGAAGAATGGATGAGGAAATTAGAGGTTCTGAGTGGCAGAGTCTTATGTCATCTAGATTTAATCTAGATAGAGAAACTCGGTAACATCGGAAGAGTAGTTGCAAGGGATGCTCGCACTACTCAAGCACTCCATTCATCCAGATACAGACGAGAAGTGCCTAGATCGGAAAGAGTTGTGATAATGCCTCGTCATGTGAGAAAAGTTACCGTCGTCACGTAGATGATGGTCTACACACACCAAAGTTAATACTAAGATGGTAAGGACCACATTATTACCTCCACAACCAGGAGTACTTGAGAAAAGTAGATAGCAAGTTGCGTAAAGCTTTATAACCCAGGTCATAAAGAGATTGTGGACTCGACACCAGTTTAGGTGTTAGTCTACGGGTTATACAAGATCGCGCGTTTCCTACAAACTTGAGGAAGCAGACACAATGGAAAAACTAATGGAGCATGTCATAGATATTGTTAGACTACTAGGTGTTCCAAGGAATATTATCACTAAAGAGATAGTAGAACCACCTCCCGAAATAGTCAACCACTTCAAAAAATCTCAAAGGGCGAAGCTAGCCCTGATCAGAAACTGCTATCCATGAAACAGCAAACCGAATGAGAGAAAGATTCCTCCCGATTAGGGAATCATGCTGTGAAAGCATCTATTAGACGATGATGAAAATTGGAGTTATCTAAGCATCATCTGGTAAAACCCTCTATCATCCTGACGCTGAGATATTCAGTTAGAAACACCTCATGAGTCGAAAGTGTAGGTCCAATCTGCACTGGGCTGAGGTAGATACCACGCAACCAATAAATGCCAGCATATAGTCAGCACCTTCAATGGTCCAGAAAACCTCTGAAAGCCAACCAGTAGGAAATACAAATCCGAATACGACCTGAGACTCCTAAGAACCAATCAGAAGGACTACACCTCCAATAAGAGAAAACTTTTGGAACTTCAGAATGGCGATCACGCCAAGTGATGATCTCACCATGGAAGTACATTATGTTTTAGGTACTGAAACGTTCTATATTCCAAAGAACTGAGGACCATCAGAGATTCTTGATAGAATTGGTCCAGTATCCGTCAAACCCAGACTACCTTAGGAATTCCATAAATTCCACCCTAATCTATCCACGTCTCAGCGAATGAACCAGTAGTACCCGACAAAACTCTCACCATTTTCTCGATTAGATCCATGGAAACCAGAGCCACGTTTGTTAGAGGAAACAGGAGAAATCTAGCTCATTAAAGGGAACCGATGAAACCTTATCCCGTGTGGCCCAGGGATCGAAGAAGAAACTATACCTCGTAACAAAAATTCGCTAAAACTCAGTATGGACCTGATTCCCCTAAGGAACGGGCGGATCAGCTAGAGGCTATTGACGAATACAGCCCAACCTAAACCTCAGTTTCATCTTTCGTATTCTAAACCCCGAAGTACTCGTGCAAAGACTACTTTGTCCTCCGAAGCCTTATCGTCGAATGTCCGCAGACCATCATGAAATACCACTCGTCCAACATACCAAGTTCGAGCACAGAGGCTATTGACGAATACAGCCCACCTATCACTATTCAGTGTATACGCGAGGGTGGTATATGATTATGATTACGCAGATTTAGTATGTGTGTTTCCGCCCTATCTCCTGTTCTTTGTTTGGTTGTGGACCTGGGGCAGAGTCGCACATCCGACCGTCTTACTAATCCTAATTACATACGACTTGTATACACAAGGTAATGATAAATGGACCAAGTACGAATCCTATCATGAACACCAGGGCAAAGTTGCCAGGTCTACGAGTAGGTATTCTGCCAATCAGAGGAGCGCAACCCCAGTAGTACTACTAAGAAAGCTAATTTCGGGACGAAATTCCATCTAACGGGGGGATGATGTGACAACCCGAAAATTTTTTGTTTTGAAAGCTCATTCAGTCAACTCAACTGAGTATCAGACTCATTGGTAATGAGTTCCAGCCTGGTTAAAGGTCATTCTAAGGAGTTTTAAGCCTAATACACTCAAGGAATGAGTGTTAGGAAGTACCTGCTAGACCCACAGTATAACATGCAAGCCTTAAACTCCATCAAGAGGAGTTTACGGCCATGTTACCAAGAGTTTACGGCCGTAAACTCAAGGGGGCCGTAAACGCATCTCTACATATATAAAACTTGGCCATTTTTCTCATTCCTTCTTTCCTTGGCCGATTTTCTTCAAATCCTCTCAAGTATCATCCAACTTTTCATCCAAGATCTTCATATATATATATATATAAGTATGCTATCCTTTGATTAGTTTTTACACCTTCTTAACTAGCCTCATCCATAGAAATCATCTTTTCTTAGATCTTCAAGAAACACCAAGAACACACACTAGTGTTCTTGGCCAAAATAAACCATTTCAAGCCTCTATATCGTAAGTACTCTTCCCTACACTTGATATCTAGTTAGGACTCATGCTTATAGCCTTGAAAACATCAAAAACACAAGAACAAAAGGAGTTTATGGCCAAGCCATCTCCCATGGCCGTAAACCCCTTTAAAGGTGTCATTTTGGCCATAAACCCTCCTAGATGCAAAGCTTGTGACCTAGAACCCTTCCTTGATGGAAATAGGACCTTAAAATACTCTCAAATGCATAATGACCATGAGTTTATGGTTGTAAACTCCGTTGGGCCGTAAACTCATCAAAAGCCTTCATTGAGTTGGTCTTTCTAATCCTTGTGTAGAGCAAAAGTCCCTCAAGCTTCCCTAGCCTTCAAACACACAATTATGCATGTTTGACCATGAGTTTACGGCCGTAAACTCCCTTTGGCCATAAACCCATGGTAGTAAACTCTTGGTATTGCCATTCCACTCTCCTTTGATGAATCACATGTGATTCCAACACTTGGTCAAAGTGTTTCCTAGTCCCGGAAGGTGTTTCCTTTCATATAGTTGCTTATAAACATTATATTCATGCCAATATATGTCATTTAGGACTTGTTGTGTCTCGGGACTTCATTCATGGAACTTCTCATCCTTACACGCGTATTCGTTGAATCACCCACATCAGGTGAGTTCATACCTCGTAATAAATCTTTTAACTGTTTTAAATGCTTTTAAGGGGGAATACAAGTTGAACACAATGATAACTGTGTAATTGTTTGTTATAAACATCTTTCAAAATGTTTCTTATGTCTTTTATAAGTGATCAAAACATTTCAAAAACTCTTTTAAAGTTATGTTACTTTATAGTTAATCAAACTCCTTTTTTAAAGTACAAGCATAACTTAGTAGTAAAATGAGTCTTTTCAATAACAATTCAAGTAAAACATTAGTAAACTATAATAGGTATAGTTTAGGAAGATACTATTCATTACTTCTAGTACAATGAAGCATACAAAGAGCCAGTTCATACATGAGTCAAACATACTATGATGAGAAACAAACAGAACATACATACATACTAGACAGAGAGAACATACAATACAGCTAGTACATACTATACATTATACAAGAGAACATACTATTATGAGAAACTAAGAGAACATACATACATACTAGACAGAGAGAACATACAATACAGCTAGTACATACATTACATATACAAGTATACAATAACATAAATGTGAACCATCGTTCGGGGCATGGCATCACCTCTCATGGCTCGATTTGTAGCCATGATCTCCTAGAGGGAGAGCGTGAATTTGTGTATAGATCTATACTGGATTGACTATCCTACACCTTGCTGCTAGCTACAGTGGGACTTGCAAGTCTACGGGTGCCAAAATGTCATTTCTTCCGACGCCTTTCATCGTTGTGTTATTAGTCGATAGTATGGTGCAACCATTTCACATTTAACCTTAATTAACGGCCGGATTAAGGTAGAAAGTATAGCAGTAGTTACTATAATACAACACTACAATACTTTATTATTTCCCCATTTCATTCACATTGTGATCTTCTCACAATAAACAGTAATGTAAAAACTATATTTTTGGTTAATGATAGTCTCACTTGGGAAAATACACAACTCATGCAAGAAACAAACACACATAACATTAGATGCCTTGGTAGAAGGCTACATTTAGTAAGAGAGGACCATAATGCTAGCCTTATGATTCCTTAATGTATACATCAAAGGATATATATATCAATAGGATCCGACAGGTAATGGGATGTGTGCTCTCCGCTTCATTTCCTGTTCCTTGTTTGGTTGTGGGCTTGGAAC